GAAAGGGATTATGAGATATTTAGTTGTCAACAATTTTCACTTTTATGTAATTGAATTTTTAACACAATCACGAACCTACTCCAAAATTGGAGAATGAATATTGTGTGGTTATAGACTAAATAATGAATTGGCAGACTTCACAAAATTTCGCATTCATCAATTTTTATTTAGTGCAATAAAAGAAGAAGAAGAAAAAGAAGAAGCATATTGAAGGGATTAGATGCCTAATGACTAAATAATGAAAGTCTGCAAGCTACTCTCTTGGCAGACTTCACAAAATTTCGCATTCATCAATTTTTATTTTGTGCAATGTAAATAAAAAATAATGGAATTTCAATGTATTCGTAAATAAGAAATTATTGCAATTATTACAAAAAGCATACAGACTTTACAAACATATATATAATTTTACCTTTTGTAGTCCATATTGGATTATTTTAGTCCACAAAGTGATGTAGTATAGAACTTATAAATAGTTTAGTTATTTTACACATAAATAGTAATTACTTGAGTTATATGTTAGTTTTTAGCGATTTCTGGTTCTATGACTTTAACATGGAGATCTCCACATTACTTAAGTAAGTTTATGCAATGCACATGTAAACTTAACTGCATAAAGTATGACGCTTGGAACAACTGTAGTCTTGACATGTAAGCAAGGAGAATACTTGGTTGTAGACTATGTCACATAATTCTAACATAGGAGAGAGATTGGTCTTAATTTACAGCAAGTTTCAAAGTGATTTAGGGTACTTGAGAAACCAAGTACACTGATATTCTGTGATTGAATCTAATAAGGAGCTTTATTGACATACGAGAAACAATGAGCCCCCTAAGCTACTGGTGGAATGACCTAACAGACAGAATAAAATTAAAATTTGGAACTTGATGTGGAAAAGTAACACAAAAAAAACCAATACATGATACATAAACTGATCATAATCATATTTTCCAAGTAAATTCTTAGTTCTCCTGATTAACTCGACTTGTTAAAGCTACTCAATTATGAACTACTCTTTTCTTTGTCACCAACTCATGACCTTGTTAGAGGCAATCCATCACTCATCCTAGAGGTTTTCTCAACCACCACATTTACTTAGATTTTTCTGACACTTTAAATGGTGAACTTTTCATCACCATTATAAATTTAATCAATTTTGCCTCAGTAGTAAAAATATTAAAACTGAATTCAACAAGCAAGTTGTAAAGATTTAATTCTAATATAGGAGAGAGATTGGTCTTCATTTACAGCAAGTTTCAAAGTGATTTAGGGTACTTGAGAAACCAAGTACACTGATATTCTGTGATTGAATCTAATAAGGATCTTTATTGACATACTAGAAACAATGAGCCCCCCAAGCTATTGGTGGAATGACCTAACAGACAGAATAAAATTAAAATTTGGAACTTGATGTGGAAGAGTAACACAAAAAAAAAAACCAATACATGATACATAAACTGATCCGAATCATATTTTCCAAGTAAATTCTTAGTTCTCCTGATTAACTCGACTTGTTAAAGCTACTCAATTATGAACTACTCTTTTCTTTGTCACCAACTCATGACCTTCTCAGGGGCAATCCATCACTCATCCTAAAGGTTTTCTCAACCACCACATTTACTTAGATTTTTTTGACACTTTAAATGGTGAACTTTTCATCACCATTATAAATTTAATCAATTTTGCCTCACTAGTAAAAAAATTAAAACTGACTTCAACAAGCAAGTTGTAAAGATTTATTTAAATTTACAAATGCAGATAAAATTTAGACAATAAATCATATCAATGGTAATCACAACTGTGACCTTCTTATTCGTGAAAAATAACAGCATCTAAGAGCATAAAAAAAAGAGTAAATTCGACTTAACTATACAGAAACAAGGCCGGCGAAGATAGCGAAGCAAACCGTGGCCGGAATTTGACGGCAAGCAAACCAAGGCCGGCGAAGATAGCGAAGCAAACCGTGGCCAGAGAAGAACCCAGAATCAAGGCGCCGGAATTTGACGAACTAAGGCCGGCGAAGATAGCCAAGCAAACCGTGGACAGAGAAGAACCTAGAATCATGGCGCCGGAATTTGACGGCAAGCAAACCAAGGTCAGCGAAGATCGCGACCAACAAACGCTGAATTTTGACTCTCCTTTCTTTGATCGAAACCCAAAGAATTTAGGGTTCTTTGCCGCCGTTTTCTTTTCTTTGCAGGGGTTCGTCTTTTCTCAGATTGTCAATAGGGTTAGCTTTTTGAGTATTTATTTTTTCTTTTTATGTAATAAATTACCATATAAGTTAACAGAAGGCAGATTTAACGGAATAATGCGTTTTGCACCATTTTCGTGGAGCCCACAGACATATTACAAACTGAAGCATACGTTGCCAAACTAAGGCCTTTCATCAGCTCACAGCAGGGGACTGTAGGGTAACTCACAGCAGGGGATTTGAGCCCGAAGATTTTACATTCACTAGAATTGTTATTGAAGATTATTGAAGAAAATCTTACAATTATCCAAGATTTCAAATACGCTAGAATGCTTAACCAATGTTAATTTCAAGTAAAACAAAATCAGAATTTACACTAACGGATGACAAATGAAAGAATTAAAAAATGTAAAATTTAGGTGTGATATTAGTTTTGTAGAGGTGTGAAATTAGTTTAGTAGAACTATGTAAATAGCTTATTTTAATGGTGAAGGGTAATCAGTGTCCCTACTTATTAAACTTCACAATGTATTTTTTCTCATAAATGTCACATAATAGCCTATGAAATGTGTAATTGCCGCATACATGAGAAGAAAAAATATTTGGATAACAAATTGGTACCTAATGAAGCCAACTCGTTAAAAAAAACAATTATGTAAGATTTTACATTCACTAGAGAAGATTATAGAAAAAAAATCCTACAATTATCCAACATTTCAAATATGCTAGAATGCTTAACCAATGTCAATTTCAAGTAGAAAAATATCATAATTTACACTAACAGATGGCAAATGAAAGAATTAAAAAATGTTAAATTTAGGTGTCAAATTAGTTTTACAGAGGTGTGAAATTAGTTTTACAGAACTGTGTCAATAACTTATTTTGATGGTGAAGGTGATCAGAGTTCCTATATGTTAAACTTCGCAATTTTTTTTTCTCATAAATATCAAATATTAACCTTTGAAATGTCTAATAAATCACCTAGAGCAGGCTCCAATATTTATTAGAGCCTGCTCTAGGTGATTTAGAGCCTTCTCTAAATAGAGCAGGCTCAATTACAAAGTGGAGCAGGCTCTACTTTGTAGTAGAGCCGGCTCTACTTGGTAGTGGAGGGTAATCAGTCCATACTTATTAAACTTCACAATGTATTTTTTCTCATAAATGTCACATAATAACCTGTGAAATGTGTAATTGCCGCATATATGAGAAGAAAAAATATTTGGATAACAAATTGGTACCTAATGAAGCCAACTCAGTTAAAAAAAACAATTATGTAAGATTTTACATTCACTAGAGAAGATTATAGAAAAAAATCCTACAATTATCCAACATTTCAAATATACTAGAATGCTTAACCAATGTCAATTTCAAGTAGAAAAATATCATAATTTACACTAACAGATGACAAATGACAGAATTAAAAAATGTTAAATTTAGGTGTCAAATTAGTTTTACAGAGGTGTGAAATTAGTTTTACAGAACTGTGTCAATAGCTTATTTTGATGATGAAGGTGATCAGAGTTCCTATTTGTTAAACTTCGCAATTTTTTTTTCTCATAAATATCAAATATTAACCTCTGAAATGTCTAATAAATCACCTAGAGCAGGCTCCAATATTTATTGGAGCCTGCTCTAGGTGATTTAGAGCCTTCTCTAAATAGAGCAGGCTAAATTACAAAGTGGAGCAGGCTCTACTTAGTAGTGGAGCCGGCTGCTTTATGCATTTTTTCATTTTTTCGTTTCCAGCCCGATTTGGTTGCCGCATGTATTTCATACCAATTTTTTTGATAACACATTCATACCTACTGAAGCCAATTCAGTTCTAAAAATCAATTATGGAAAATTTTACATTCATTACAATGACAGATCGATGACAAATGAAAGAATCATAAATTTTCTAAATCTACATTGTTTCGTTCAAAACAAAAATTTCACTGTAAATGAACAATATATTAAATGCACAATATTAATAAGATAGCAAAGCAAACCATGGCCGAAATTTGACAGCAAGCAAACCAAGGCCGGTGAAGATAGCGAAGCAAACCGTGGCCAGAGAAGAACCCAGAATCAAGGCGCCGGAATTTGACGAACTAAGGCCGGCGAAGATAGCGAAGCAAACCGTGGCCAGAGAAGAACCTAGAATCACGGCGCCGGAATTTGACGACAAGCAAACCAAGGCCAGCGAAGATCGCGACCAACAAACGCTGAATTTTGACTCTCCTTTCTTTGATCGAAACCCAAACAATTTAGGGTTCTTTGCTGCCATTTTCTTTTCTTTGCAGGGGTTCGTCTTTTCTGAGATTGTATTGGGGTTAGCTTTTTGAGTATTTGTTTTTTCTTTTTATGTAATAAATTATCATATAAGTTAACGGAAGGCAAATTTAACGGAATAATGAGTTTTGCACCATTTTCGTGGAGCCCACAGACATATTACAAACTGAAGCATACGTGGCCAAACTAAGGCCTTTCATCAGCTCACAGCAGGGGACCGTATGGTAACTCACAGCAGGGGATTTGAGCCCGATTTATATTGAATGAATGGAAGTGATAAGGATAAAGGAAAAGTAGTGATGGGCGGGACACATCGGTGATTTGTTTGGCCTAAATTTTTTTGGTTTTGGCTTTTCACGTGGGTTTGGTCTTTGATTCATTGGAATGAGATACTGTAATGGTTAAGTGTGAAGTAATGATGATAATATGGGGACCACTTGAATTTTTGATCAAATTTTCTTCTTTCTTTGAATTGTTTACGTGGGTGGTCTGTTTGGTTTTGTCTGATGGAGGCGTGAGGGGTGAGCAATTGTATTGTGTCGGTGGACGCCATTATAAATTGAAAGAGTTGTGCACTGAAGCAAATAAGAAAATTTGAGAGTTGCAGATAGAGTGAGCCGAGAGAAAAACAGAGTTTGAGCACACAATGAGTCGAGTGTTTCAGAGGGCGCAGTGAAAGTTTGAAGGTTGATCTTTTTACAGTGTACGGTTCTGTATACCTTAAATGGCTTGGAGTGGTTTTTGCTTCAAATGATTTCTTAACTGTTTTTATTAAATTCATATATATTTTGTTTATCTACTCACCTGTGTATGTTATTTTGTAAAGTTGTTTTATTAAACTTCTATGAGATTCTTGTTATGGTTTTTAGGTACTGAAGATGAACGGCGGGCTTAGGACTGAAGAGTCGGCGTTGCAGGATTTATTTTATTTATTTTGGAGATTTTTTTTTTTGTATATTTGAGGAAATTAACTTTTTGTATAAAAGAGGGCATTTTTTTTGTGATCTGGGTGTATTTTGATGTATTTGAATTGAATAAGTGGAGGATTTTGTTAGAATTTTCGGGTCGTGACATTGCCACCGGAAAATCAAAGTCATCCCTGCTCGTCGTTCTTCGCCGTCGCCGTTCGTTTCTACCCGGCATGTTCAGTGCACTAGTACCAACCTTGGTTCCTCGCTGTTTAGTCTCGGTAGTTCAGTCCCGCTTCACCGTCTCTCTTGCTCACTGCCACTGCCGGTTCATCCCCGTAGCTTCACCGCCGGCATGCTTGTTCATCTTTTTCACTGCTGAACAGTTCCTTGTACGCTCACGGCTCATCACTGGGTTTTCCCTCTGTCTGGCCGTTCAGACAAGCGCACCGACGTCGGAGACATCATTACGTCCCTAATGCAGTTCATCCTTCTTATTCGTCGCCGCCATCCACTTCTCGCCGGTAAGAACAGTGTTTTCACGGACTGAACTGGAGTCGTCACTGTGACTTTGAAGAGAGAGAGAGGATAGAAAAAAAATAAAATAAAATTGTTGCTTATGTCATCAAAGAGTATTTTGAATTTTTTTTTTAAAAAAAAATTAATTAAAATTGATGATTAAGTAGCTCAAAAAAAAAAAATAGATAATAGAAGAAGTTATATAGATTGATTAAAATTACTGATTAGGGGCAATTTCCTAGAAAAACAAATTTAGCGCAGTCAAGACCGTTGGGGAAGGATTGTGGATTATTTTCCTTTCTTCTCTCTGCCGGTATTAAAACCTTAATTTAGAGTTCGTAATTTTAGACCCAAATTCTGGGACAAAGATAAATCAGTAGGGATTTTGGTGAACATAAATACTTCAAATGTTCAAAAAAAAAAAACCATTTCCTTCATTTTTCAATACTGTCCATTTAATCAAATAATACTTATTCAATTACAACCAACGAACATTAGAGAAATGCTATCAAGTAGACTCCACATGAAGATACTTGTTTTCCTTTCCCTAACAACAAAACAGAACTACAACAGGCAATCAAAATGAACATCATCGAACAACCACTTGGGCCAAACTTGCCATTCTATATCTACTCCCATTGAACGATAGTGTGAGCAACTTGATTACCATCTCCGGGAACCAATTGAAGCTTCAAACATGGATGTCGTTGAGAAGTTCCCAATCATCTTCCATCACTGTGGCTGAAAGGTCATCTGTTGGGGATATATGCATATCGTTCTGGAAATCACTCTGTATAAGAGTTTGAATGCCCGGGGCGTTGATGCGGGCATCTGACGCCTTTTATTACAGAACAGAACTGCAACATTTTGCCAAGTCCGACATGAACTTAGCGAAAAACACAAAAGGAAACTCTGCACAGCAGAGATCACACATATCCTATAATATCGAACATTACACAATATAAGAGAACTTCAATTAGGACCTTGGCCTTGCAAAGCCAAGCAATTTTCCTGCAGCCGCCAACAGTAGAAATGGAATTGCTACGACTAGGACCGGAAAGGCTTCCTGCGGTGATATTGCCATTATCAAGCACATATATGATCCAAACATAGTGGACACTGAGATTTGAGGCCACGGTTTCAGCGGAAAATCATGTAGGAGGAATATAATAACAGCCACTGATGCAACAAATCCGGTGGAGTTGAACAGTATGAACGACCGGTTTACAACTGAATCTTGTTTCTTCAGTTGGATGGTGTCATTTGCAGCATAATGATATGAGTAGCCATCTTTGAGAGTGCCACCACGGAGACTAAATGCTGCTCGGTAGGTCATTGTTGCAACCAGTGCCGACATCAATAACAATACACCACACATATACTCCCTCCTGAGTTTGAGGATGGCCTTGATCGGGTTATGTGATGGTTTGTGGCACCCCTCTCTACAAAGATAAACAGTATCATGGTGAGAATTGTGATTGGGGAGATCTCTGGCTCTCAAAGCTCCAGCTTGTCGAAGTATTTTTCCAATTTCTACATCTGCATCCTTACAATTTGGTTGATCATGTTGGCTGTCCGGAATGGTAAAAAAACCAGATTTAATGCCATTTTCATACCCTAAATAGCTAACGTTTGGATCATATTCAGAGGTGAGTCCTGTTGAAGTCTGCATTAAAGAAAGTTGAGAAAGTGTAATTGTGATGGTTGCAAACCGAACGCAATAACAAACAAGAAAAAAGATGAAAAACAGAGAACATAAACATATAGTTGAATTATGTATCTATTTCGTATTTTCTTTTTTGCTCATTCCTTCTAACTTCTGGTCATTTCAGTGCAAGTGTATTTATCTGCAATACAATATGATTTTGTTTCGTTTTTTTATTTGACTATCTTAAGGAATTTTAAGGTAATAGATTGGAGAATTTCGTTCAAAAATGATTTCATTACAGTCTTCCGCAATGGTCATAAAATATATTATCTAAATACAATATCAACAAGGGTGAAAATTTGCCCTTAGCAAAACTTAGTCCTAATTATCAGCTTCTTCAGAGAACATAAATGACAATGACAGTTGTAATCAAAGAGAAGCCCAAATATAACTTGTGGAATTAACAGGAAGAAATAAGTATATGAATTATAAATCCAATTACAAACAGTTGGAAATTGAAAAAGAAACAAAATATATGTGTGTGGTTTAGCAAAACTTGACCTACATCCACTATAAATTTGGTACAGAATTAAACAGGTAGACAACTCCAATATCCTCCTTTTTCAGCCAAGACCTTATTTATGTAAATATGTATGTGGTCTTCCATGTTTTGATAAAATTAACTGTTTTTGAAATTGTGCAACGTAGTTTTAGGGAATCAATTTTATTTTAATCATTGTCTCGATCAGCCAAACTCTCTCATGTTAACTGAACCTAGAAGAAAAACAGAGTACTCTGTTTATACTTTGATATGAAAAAAGGATAAAGCAAAAACACCATTACATTTTTTAAGTTTGAAAAATGTAGTAAAGAAAGGCTTAATGTTAAGAAGTCATGTGAAAGCACATCACTATTTTAAGTTATAAAATTTCTAAAACATCCTTGTGCTCCTCCCAAAATGACCCTTATACCATTTTATAAATAGTATAAATCACAATTCCCTCTCAATTTGAAAACCTGTAAAGACACTTTAATCTTTTACATTTACCTACTTTTCACTTTTTTTCAGTTGCATAAGGGTACTTTAGTCTTGTAATCGCTTCACCAAAGTTTTGGTACTTTTAAGAACCTATGGGTTATATAACCAATATGCATAGTGTATATTGTCTGCAACCCTATAAAAAATGACAAAAATAGAAGAGAACTAAGCAATTGATGATGATGATGATGATGATACCATACCTTGCAAGTTTTGCCAGTACTCCACGAAGAAGGAACAAATTCTTCTTGCAACATGCTAAAAAAGAGATCAGTTCTTGGACGGTGAGTCATTGGATATATACCCATCTGAATCAGCTTCTTCTTTTCCAAGTAGTTATTCCAGAAATTCTTGATTTCATTTTCTGTCCTACCTGGTAAGTGTGTAGCAATTGATGACCACCTTGTAAATAGAATTACATAAAAGGTAATTAGTACATGATATATACCAACAATAAAAGAAGATATGAAACTAATTAAGGACCGTCTATTTCATTAATTACCGGGAAAAAAAATGTAAATTTCATGGAATTAATGTAACGAAAGCTTGATATAATTGAGTTAATTACTTGTTCCCAAGGATGGAATGGAGATCCAAAATTGTTTGCTCTTCTTCTTGAGAAAATTTCCCCCTATTGATATCAGGCCTGAAAAAAAATTTCCATCTTAACCTACAACTCTTGCCACATCTGTCAAGTCCTGCACAGAAACAGAAAAATAAAAAAATTAATAATAAAAAAATTAATAATAATAATAATAATAATAATAATAAATTGAGGAACAACTAACAAGACCCTTTTTAAATGTCTGTGTGCTTGTGTGTGTATTCATATGGGTGTGTGTGTTTTTATGTATAAACCTGCAAGCTTAGGGAGGGCACTCCAATTTCCATGGCCATGTGTTTGGATGTAATGGATAAGTTTCAGATCTTCTTCGGGAGTCCAAGGTCCTTTCCTGAGGCCAGCGTCTTCGCCCCATTCAGAACTTGAAAAATCCATTCTCGGCTGCAAATGCACAAATGCGAGTATACTTTATTGATTTATACTGAACAACTTAGTTTTGGACAATGAAAAAGTAAAAATGGTGGTGGGCCTAATTTTATAGAGCTTTGTTCTGTGCTCCTATATTTTATATTATAAAAGAAAAATAAATTCTGTAATTTTTTTTTTATTAATATGTCTTTTTTAAAATAAAAAAAATCATTTAAGTTTAATTATTAAAAAATTCATTTATACTCTTACAAAACAGAGTAAAATTTTGTAATTATAGATTGAAAAATTCATATATAATCTTTTAAATTATATTTTTAATGTTTTAATTAATTAATGAATATTACATTATGAGTTTAAATAATAATTAATTTAACTATAATTATATTTTAAAACTTGTGTAGGATTCATTGCGACTTTAACACACAAGAAATTAAATATTCTATGATAAAATGTCAATAAAATGTTGTATTTTCTTTTATTAAATTTGATATCTATAGTACTTTTTAAAGTTATAATTGCAAGTTTGATTTTATATCTAATTTAACAAGGGTATAAATGAAAAATTAAATAATTTAGTACTTAAATGAAAAATTAAATAGAATTGAGACTTATTGTTTTTAAAATTAATTTATAAGACTTATTTATCTTTTAATAAAATAAAATAAAAATAAGAATTTGAGATTTGTAATAGAAAATAATAATATTAACTAGTCGTATACTCGTATGCTAGTTACTTTAATTACAAATAGCTTTTATTTTTTATTTTTTTTCCTCCTTAGGAAACTTCTTAGAGAGTGGAAATCTCAACGACTAGGCCCATTTGGTGTAGCTTCTTGACTCTAAAATTTCTTCTATTTAAAAGCTTTGAAGAATGCATTTTAATGGAGTGAATTTTGAAGAAAAAGTTATTTGGGGATGTAATTTTTTGAAATTCCTTTAATAATTAATATAGTTTTAACTTTGACAATTTTATTCTAATCCTAAATAATTTACAGAAAGACTACAAATCTATAATAAAAGTGATGAAGTGAAGATATCATATATAAATAAATAAATAAAAAAGATAGCAGATGATGAAATTTATGTTTATATTCTTATTATTGTCGTGTTGTTAATTACATATTTGATAAACGAAATATCTCTTCACTGTAAAATTACTTTTTACACTCAAACTTAAAGAATGAGAATACATTTAAATGTGTGTCAATAATTCACATAGAAAAATCCCTGTAGAGAGAAGCTAGGGTTTCATAATGTAGAAATTAAAAATTAAAAGTTTAAAGTAAACTTAAAAATAATAAAAATAGAATATTTGAAGAATTGTAATTTACGAAGAATTCTGAGAGAACTAGTCTAAATTGGAAAAGTATTTTAGTATTGGGATTTGAATAGGAGTAACAGACTCCAAATTTGTTAAATTTCTTTTGACTTTTAATAATTGATAATCGGTCCATCGCATAAACTAGTTTTTAGGGAAAAGATATCTCTGTTAAAGATCTAGATCTGTAACTCTCTTATACTTTGACATAAATAAATAACAGAAGTAGAAGAGGACTAAGCAATTGATGATGATGATCATGGTGATCTAACATACCTTCCACCACCGAGAAGGCGTAAATTTTATCCGTCGATTAAAATGAACTGGTGGCAAGATCACTACAGGGATCTCAAAGACACAGGATTCAAAGAAACTAAATTTCCGCTTCATGTTGTCCTTGGAATAGAAATCCATACTCGTGTTCTTCTCTTCAATAATCTTCTTTTTTAGATACGATGAAATGACAGAGTCTTCCACCGAAAACTTGAATTCATCTTCATCTTTGAAGAATACAGTTCCATCTTCGGCCACCAATTCACAACTTGAAAAACTTCCATAATCTCCCGGTTTACCACCGACATCATCGGCGGTTTCCCGGTCACCAACAAACTTCAACACATCAAAGTGAGTAGCATAAGATTGCGAGTATTCCAGTATCTCATCATGAGATGGACAACTCGAATTATCTCTTTCGGGCCAAGGATAATCTGAGAACTCATAATCACAGCGAGGGGTCTGAACAAGTTTATTAGATTTGCAAGAACAATGTCTCCAAACTCCACCAATGGAGTCAGTGGCCTCAAAGACCGGAGGCTCATATTCAGAGAGCTGTCTGGCAGCAGAAATGTAAGAGATGAAGGCCATTGACTTGGACGGCACAAAATGAGCGTACTTACTACTTGGTTGATTTATTTATATTCCTTGGTTTTGGACAAAGAAAATCATAAAAATGGTGGAGGACTTAAATATTTATTGTGGTTGTTTCAGTCTTACGCGCTCATTCGAAATATCTATTAAGTCTTATTCTTTATATTGAAAGACAAATAAGCCCCATAAACACTTAGTAATTATAAATTGAAAATTTGATACATTAAAAATGCTCAACGCTTAGAGCTAACCACATTTGGGCAAAAACAATGTTGACAGGAACATGCTTGATGAATTTAAAATTAATTTTTAAAATTTGTGTCATATATTATTATTTCTAAATTCTATATCTAATTTAACAAGAGTATAAATAGAATATTAAATAATTTAACAAGTAATTATAGGACTTATTTGTATTTTGATTTTAAAAATAGAACTTCTGTGGTAATATTTTCGAAAAGAAACAGTGAGTCGTGAGTTAGTTACTTTCATCAATTTTTTACTTTTTTATTTTTTATAATTAACTTTTTCTTTTGGATAACTTCTAATAAATGACCCCCACAACTTCTTAGCAGTTAGAGGGAAACTTCTTTCAAGTAAACATGCTGGTAAAGCTTGCGGAAATTTAGGGAAGCTAGACATATCTTATACATAGGGTTCCATCAAAGACTCTTTCAAATCTATATGTTTTTTCCAGTAAATTTCAAGGAAGCTTGATACATGAATTATTGAAGTCATCTAGAGAAGTGCTATGACCAAAAACATATCTTATATAAATATATAAAGGGTTTCATCAAAGACTTCCAAATCAATATTCTTTTTGAGTAAATTTCAGGAAGCTTGGCGCGTGAATTATTAAAATCAACTTGACGAGAGTTATGAGCTATACATATATGTCTCACATATAGAGTTTCATCAAAAACAAGTTCAAATCTATATTCGATCTTTTCCAATAAATTTCTTAGAAGCTAGCTTGGCACATGAATTATTAAAGTCAAACATATCTTATATATAGGCCGGGTTTCATCAAACACTCTTTCAAATCTATATTCTTTCCCAATAAATTTCAAGGAAGCTTGATACATGAATTATTGAAGGCATCTGGAAGACAGCTATGAGCAAAAACATATCTTATATAAATATATATAGGGTTCCATCAAAGACTTCCAAATCTATATTCTTTTCGAGTAAATTTCATGGAAGCTTGGCACATGAATTATTAAAATCAACTTGACGAGAGCTATGAGCTATACATATATATCTTATATATATAGTTTCATCAAAGACAATTTCAAATCTATATTCGATATTTTTGAGTAAATTTCTTAGAAGCTTGGCACATGAATTATTAAAGTCAAACATATCTTCTTATACATAGATCGAGTTTCATCAAATACTATTTCAAATCCATATCCTTTTAAGTAAATTTAAGGGAAATTTGGCACATGAATTGTTGAAGTCATCGTGATGAAATTAATGATATTGTATTAATCACTGAATCAAAAGATTTCAAGATATAAAAATTTATAAGATAAAATCAAAATAATTTTATCTCATTCATGTCCTAATAAAATAAACAGAGTTTGTATTTCTTACTAAAATGGTGACTTTATTATGATTTTTTTTTTTTTTGAAAGGTATGAACTTTTTATTTCACAAGTGTCAATATACATGGATGAATGGATGCACCAACAATTTAATAAATGCAGAGTCTCATGAAAAAAATGAAAATAAGGGTGATCATGTACACTTCAACTTTTCTCCATGTGCATCTCACTCTTTTTTTTTTTTTAGAAAATTAAATTAAACAATTACACTTCAAAAACAAACTCATAATTAATTTTTTTTTTTAATAAAAAAATTAATAATTGTCTTTCACTTTTGAGTGTTAGTTCACCATTTCAATTATTAAAAATTCAACTGAAGAAAAATAGAGTGTACGTGAATATCATCTCCCTGAAAATAAAATTCTAAATACTATTGTGAATATATATTTTACTCATTTCTCTATAGGAGTTTTGTGTGTGTATTAAAGTCACAACATGATTTTTTAAATAAGATTTTTTTGAATTTAGTAAAAACTAAATCAATTATAATTGAAATTCATAAATGTAATATCCATCATCAAAATTCGAAAGGAATTTTAAATTTAAATTTAAAGATATACAAAAACTAATGATGAACTAAAAACGACATTAGAAGTAAAATATTGGAAATTAGTTGTTGATGGATCATATTGAGAAATAATAAGACATAAATTAAATTAATATATTGTTAAACGGGTTTGAAACTTCAGCAAGGATATTAATATATAGTTACGTGTTGCGTGATTTTTTAAAACTAAAATATTGAAAACAAAATGGTCCTAAAAAATTAAAATAACAATTGTGAAACTACTCGGCAACTATATTAATTTTTACGCGTTTGCTTGGATGCTGAAACTCTTGAGACATTTCTATAGTAATTTCCTTCCACAATTCCCTCATAACTACACAACTTTGCTTCTCCAATTCTTTGTAACTACTACTTAAAGACTAAAGTAAGAGTGGAATCGAGCTAGGGTTTGCACCTAGCTTGTTACCAAAACAAAAACGCCTTGGTGTGATGTCTGAACCAATTTGGGGGCAGGGCAATCCTTTACTCGATGCGCATAGAGATGGTGACATCAATAGTGCAAAGTGTCTCATCAGAGCTCATCCGAAACTTGCCTCTCGGAGAATTAACCGGCAGGGTCAAACTGCTATGCACTACATCTGTGACGTTGCTGATGCTACAACTGTGAAGGCACTCGTAGGTGAAGTTCCACCTGAATTCCTGTGTTCTCTTAGAGACAATGAGACAAGAAACCTGGTTCATATGGCCGCAGAGAAAGGCAAAGAAGAAGTTGTGAGGGTATTAGTCAATGCGTGTCCTAAATTAATCCAAGGGTTGACTTCTCTGGCGGAGACCCCTCTTCTTGTGGCTCTCAAAAATGGCCAAATTGGGTGTTTTTTCGCGTTGATGGAACTTCTTCAGCAGCCCCAGTACATTGACTGGATGGAGCTTCTAAACCGCCGTGATTGGGATGGCAACACTCTTCTCCTTATTGCAGTTTCTCGTAAGCAAGCCCAGGTTTCTCCCTATCTTTCTATGTAACTATTTCATTTTCGAAGTTGTTTTCCATCAGTGTCGTTACAGGGAGTTGGACCATCACAAATTCGCATGTTTTGATGTGAATCCTGGTGGGACTACTTTTTTACTCAAAAACAATCCGGTTATAGACTCTATTATGAATTCTTTTTATAATATTATTATTATTTAAAAAAAGGAAAAATTAGAACCTAACTATAATCAAGGAGAAATGGCTGTTTGGTTGTGTTCAGGTGAACTCAGGGGAGTCTTTATTGCAAGGCCTTTATTTTTTTTGTCTGATTACTATTTTTAATCTGAAATGTGCTATTTTGCAAGACTCGGCACAGTGGTCTTGTGGCGACTCTTCCGAGCTGAATCGAACTAAGAAGATTATTTTGTTAAAATAAATGTGAATTTACATGAATAAATTGAAGCGTTGATGGAGACACCAAGAAGGGACAGGGCATTTTCAGTTGAAAGACTAAAAAGAGTCAAACTTGTCCCCAAACTTGGAGGTGGGTACATGGTATCAAATTTTATTCACGATTATTATATATAGGGTTAATTATTCATATTTATTATTTGATGGTGGCAAAGTTTTATAATTTAAAAAAAAATAAAATTGATTAAAATGTTGACATGAACATAAAAAAATACTGTTTATTTGTCAAAATGTATTACCTTTTGAGCATGCATGTATCATTTTTTGTCATCAGGTATCACTTTTTGTACTTAAAAAAAAAAAAAAATGATACAAACGTGCATAAAAAGTAATACATATGTGCACAAAATGTAATACCTATGTGCATAAAAATTGTACTCTATGCTTAAAACAAAAGTAATACCTAATGACAAAAAGTGTTACATGTGTACAAAAGATATGGTGCCTATGTGCCTAAAAGTGATACTTTTGGCAAATAAATAATATTTTTTTATATCTACGTCAATATTTTGGTCAACTTCATTATTTCAAAACTATTAGACTTTGTTTGACTCCAACAAATGATAAATATAGGTTATTAATACCATTTATATGTAATAATATCTTTAATTTACATGATCAGATGATTCAGATAGTATTTTTAAAATTCTTTTTATTGTAAGTTCTAAACTCAACATTCCACTTATAACCTTGCCGAACAGAAGTAAAGTTTTGTAATTATAGTTTGCATTCTAAAATTGATCGAAATGTAATACTTCCCATTTTCCTATGTTCTTTTAAGTTTTAGATTGTTAATGAATATTATGTTATGAATAAACTACAATTAATTAAATTAAATTTTAATTCTTTCTTTTTTTCTTCTTTTTTTTTTCGTAGATTTTGCAATGTTCACTTTTAACATACAAAAATTGAGAGATTCTATTTTAAGAAATTAATAAAATATTATAAATTTTTTTATTGGAACAACTTGAATAATATTTCATCCTTTTGGAAGCTAGTTTAATTATTTTGAAAATAAAATTATAAAAATGAAAAAAGATTCAATTGCTAATAGACAATTTTATACATGTTTAAATAATCAAATAGAAAATTTTGACTTACATATCAATTTTTGGATAGAAATGATAATTGCAAATTTTGAAATCTTAATTGGTTGGGGGTATAAATGAAAAGTTGAATGATTTAGAACTTATAGTAGTATGAAAAAGAGTTTCAATAGTTGTGATAACCTTGTGGGCGGGTGTGCCATGGGCGGGTGCGAGAGACACTGTCAGGCTACCACACTGGCGAGCTACGGGTGCACAGTCCCACATCGCCTGGGTAGAGGAAAGGTGAAGTGCTTATATGTAAGTGCATCATCTCCAATTGGTATGAGGCCTTTTGGGGTGAAGCCCAAGAGCAAAACCGTGAGGGCTTAGGCCCAAAGCGAACAATATCATACTATATGGTGGAGTGGGTCGTTATAAATGCTATCAGAGCCTGACCCAGCCGGAAGTGTGCCGACGAGGACGTCGGACCTCCAAGGGGGGTGGATTGTGATAACCTTGTGGGCGGGTGTGCCGTGGACGGGTGCGAGAGACACTGTCAGGCTACCACACTGGCGAGCTACGGGTGCACAGTCCCACATCGCCTGGGTAGAGGAAAGGTGAAGTGCTTATATGTAAGTGCATCATCTCCAATTGGTATGAGGCCTTTTGGGGTGAAGCCCAAGAGCAAATCCGTGAGGGCTTAGACCCAAAGCGGACAATATCATACCATATGCTGGAGTGGGTCGTTACAAATGGTATCAGAGTCTGACCCAGCCGGAAGTGTGCCGACGGGGTAGCGAGTTACGGGTGCACAAGTCCCACATCGCCTGGGTAGAGGAAAGGTGAAGTGCTTATATGTAAGTGCATCATCTCCAATTGGTATGAGGCCTTTTGGGGTGAAGCCCAAGAGCAAAACTGTGAGGGCTTAGACCCAAAGCGGACAATATCATACCATATGGTAGAGTAGGTCGTTACAATAGTAGGCTATGAAAATATTATAAGACTTATTTGTTTTTTAGAAGAAAAAGCATGACTTAATGATTTTTTATGAATAATATTTGTATCTTTTTCTAGAGTGAAACTAGGGCTATAACTCGGCCAACATAATCTGGACCAACTCGAAAATTTTCAGTTGTATAAATTACAATTTGGTTTAAAAAGTAGGAGCCTAATTTTATTTCGAGCTTAGGTTATTATATCGTGTAACTCGAAGCTTAACCTGAGTCCGTTCTGAATTACAAAATCTCATAAATCCGATCTATGAACTTAAACACTGAACTTAATATATATATATATATATATATAAATTTTTATGTTGATTGTACATGATTAGTTATTTAGTGGATTCGTATAGTTATTTAGTGGATTCACATGGTCGTAACATATATAACATATTAAACTTATTAGTTTGTTACTCTCTCCGTCCCATATTAGAGGTTCATTTTTAAAAATTAGAGTTTTTAAGGGGACATGCATTTAATGCATTGTTCCCTTTTAAAATTACCAACTTGTCCCTTCTAATCTAAATATATATAATTACAAAGTTTGAAATTTTTTAAAAATATAAAGTACAATAACAGAAATATATAATTTATTTGCTTTGATTTTTTAAAGGGAATAACTAATTTGTGACATATAAAAAGAGAATAATAGATTACTAATATAGGACGGATGGAGTAATATATCATGTCAATCTCTTCAATTATTTTAGTTGTGAAAAAAAAAAAAAAAATTTATTTCATTTGTTATTACAACCTCAAAATTTTAGTTCAACAACTTGAATTTGGGGTAAACTTGGTAGAGACACTCCTAAGCCTTGTGGGAGCACATGTCTGTACTGAAAAATTTTCTTTGACTATTGTACCTACAAATTTTACATTTTTGAATTATACACTTAAAACAAAATTGAGTTTACCCCACTGAAAATAAAGAAAAACGCCACTATTGTCAACATTTTTTTTTTTTTTTTTTTTTGGTCCTTACTCATACTTTGGTCTGTCCTGGCCTCCAATCCGCCCAAATTTAACCCCAAGTGAAACTCTCACCGGCCAAACATTCCCAAAAAGAAACTCTTTCCGGCCATACTGTATTTACCAGTTTGCCACTCATAGCGAATTCAATTCTAATCGACTACCATTTGTCTCTGTGATTTAGATGGTGGGAGCGTTGCTCTCTTACAAGCAAAGAAATGGTGATCGTGTGGTGGATGTGAACTCCACAAATAATTTGGGTTCAACAGCGTTGGACCTCCATATCCAGCATATGCCTGATGCAAATGACAGAGAGATCAGTGACATTCTTCATGAAGCTAAAGCGAAGAGAGGACATGAGCTCCGCAGGTGTCATGAAGGACAATCAGTACAGAAAATGATAGAGAAGTTTTTTCTCGAAAATTCAGACATCATGAAGAAATCGTTGTTGCTGGTGGTGTTCATTTTCATAGCAACTGATGCCTCCAGTAGTCTATCTGGTTTAAGCAGCATCTATCCAATCGAGCATCCTGCTGAAATTTTAACAATCAATGTTAAAGATATGATAAGGTGCCCTAGCCTACTCCCTGCTGTCTTCTATGCTATCATGGCAGACACCGTCACATTTTTGAGCAGTATGGTGATGATACTTGTTATTACCTGGTCCCTTTCAACAAAATGCTCACTTTGTTACCGTGCAGTTCCATTGTTGCTCACGGTGGCTGTGCTTGTGAGGTGTGTTCTTGTCACCAAGACAATCATGCCCAAGTTCTGGATGACCATCGGCCCTCACAAGATTCCAAGTTTCTTGGCCGTCTGGTTATTCGATTTACCTTTACTGTTCTTGTCACTTGCAATATGGCTTATGGGAAAATACGTTCTCATATTACCTAAGTTACCTTAGGATTTGAGTAAGACCATCATGATTTATTAGGGAGCTAGGGACTGGAAAGCTGCGATAATAACCCTAGTATTTTTGTTGTACCTTTTTTTTTTATTTTTTATTTTTTATTTTTTCATGATGGTGGTGTGGGATTTGTGAGGTCGCCCTGTAATTGTACTTTTTTGTTTTTTTTCTTTTTTTTGTTGTTTGCATGGTAGTGTGAGACCTCCAAGGACCTGTAATTGATATATGCAATGCATACGGTATGGCAAATAACTTCTTTTTTCTTTTCTTTTTTTTCTAATAGAAAATGTTATTTTAATTAAACTAACCGAATTGACAGAATAGGAAAATCAAAAGTGGGGCAGCTGTTGGATGCATAAGCGTTAAGGAGCTCTCCCAAGTTCCCAACACAAATCATGGAAGACATATATCATGTTTTGAAGGCCCATTCTAATTTCAGACCGGTTTGGGGTCCAAAATATGCGAACAAGCCAGCCCATCACTTTTGTGAACAGGCTGCTAAAAAAATCTCTTTACAGATTCAGATATTTGGAAATGAGACTCTCGCTACCTGGCTTATTCAAACCATACATGCCCACCCAACCCAAAAAATTAGAAGTTAGACGGCCCAACAACAAGGCAAGGCCTAACACCAAATACAACTTGGTTTTTCAAAAACTGGAAAACAATGGCTCTCAATCGTATATCACAGAACCACAACAATTGGCATGTTCGAGTGATTGAATTACTCCAATGTACTTGCATCCTCCCACGGATGCTTAACAGTATTACAATTAAAAAAATAATAATAACACACCAATAGATAACATCAGGACAGAGATGATCGCCAAATGAAGAAGAAACAAAGGTCAAAACAAGTGCACCACAGCATCACACCCATTTTATACCTTACCACTATTATTTTGCAGTAGTTTCAATTTTTAATAGTCGGACAAAGCCATGAATTCTACAATATGTAATAATAATTAGAGGTACAAAGATATAACTTCAATAAGATCTCTGCCGTGCAAAGCCATGTAACTTCTTCATATGCCTCATCAAAATATTATTTCAATGTATTGTGTTAACTCAATCTGTCGCGGAAAAAATAAATTCAATTTGTTACAATGGGGAGAGTTCTTGCCATGGAGTCTTGGTGATTCACAAGTTTTTGTGATGTAAGACAGGTAGTAATTTTTTATTTTTTAGAAACGATGCGTTAAGAAAAAATTACTAGTTTTAGCCTGTGGATCATGTTGATTTTAAGCATTTATTGCAAAAGCAAAATTTAACCTTTAATTAATAATATTTCAATTGCTTTATTATTTATCTTTAACTTTGTACCTTCAAAGTTACTCCTTATTCCTTGTAAACGATTTCACAGTTTTCATCATTAACAAGTTCCAAAACTGAATTTGAGGCGAGATTAGTGAAATTTTGCCCTGATTGAGTTCCTGATATTTCTGAGACCATGATTCTGAGAAGATGCTCTACCTTTGAATATGGGAGGCATTTCTTTCCTCCCAAGTGATAGGACAAATGCAGAAAATGCCAATTTAGCAATGGAATGAAATTGCACCTCTTAATTTGCAAGAAGTTAACTTTCAAAAAAAAAATAAACCGCAATAGTTATGCATAAATATATTTTTATTTTAAATAAATTAAAAAGTATAATTGTAAGTTTACCTAACTTTTTCAAGAAAATAAAATTTTATATTACTTCTCAAAGTCATAAAATGTTCAAATTATTTTTCCTTTAACCAGCCTAATGAAAACCTTTTTTTAAAATTGAAATACCCGACCAACTAAGCAATTGTGTTTTGAAAAACTAAAGAAGAAAGAGACATGATATCACAGTGCACAGCACATGAAAATACTTACTCTCTTGAATTTGCTTTGTTAATCTGTCTAAACTTTAACTTTGGTTCATATGGTAGTGCTCTAATCTTAAAAATAAATAAATAAATAATTGTGGTCGTAAAGAAACTTGCAGCTCAAGAAAATTGTTCTGAAAATTATGTAAAAATAAAGAAAGAAATCTTATTTACTAAACTGTTAAATACCAAAAGGGAACCAATTTGAATCGTTTAGTCTTCAAACAAAAACTCCGAAATATTCAAAATTGGGAAAACACAATTCCCAAGCCCTAAACGATTGAATTCGGCCAAAAAGTACCTTACCTCGGCAACCATTTAGGCCGTTTCTGGTCAAACTAGGCTCTTTCCTGATAAAAAACGGACTCATCGAAAAAACCAAGTCGATCCGCCCATTTAATCTTTTGATGGTCCAAACGAATTCCGAAGTCTTCAACAATGTGTTCATCATCATTTTTTAATCTTTATAAAAAAAATGTATACACACACGCCAAGAGTGAAACAGAACACTGGGGGCATCTGACACCCTTTATTACAAAACATGTTCAAACACTTACTTGACATAGTTTTACATATTAGTTGACTCCAAGGAGTACACACATTCTTGGCTTTAATTTGTAGGGCATAGTTTCACATACTATGTAACTGCAAGAAGGGAAAACATAACTTGTAACACTGTTAAATTTAGAAAATACTGACCTTTTCACTTTGAGACTACTTCATTAGGACCTATTTTGGGGTAATTTAATTAAAAAAAAAAAAAAAAAAATTCGGTAATTCTTCATTAGGACCCTGGCCTAGCAAAGCCACGCAATTTTCCTGCAGCTGCCAATAGTAGAAATGGACTTGCTAGGAAGAGGAGTGACAAGGCTTCACGCGGTGATGTTGCCATTATCAAATACATATAAGATCCAAACAGTGTGGACACCGTGATTTGGGGCCATGGTTTCAGTGGGAATTCATGTAAGAGGAAAATAATCATAGCCACTGACGCAACAAACGCGGTGGAGTTGAACAGCATAAAAGACCCTGTTACAATTGAATCGCGGTTTTTCACTTGGAGGGTGCCATTCTCTGCATAACTATATGAATAGCGCTCTCTGAGAGTGCCACCAAGGACACTAAATGCTGTTTGGTAAGTTATTTTTGCGACGATTGAGGCCATCAGTAACAACACACCATATAGATACACTCTTTTGGTTTTGATGATGGCGTTGATTGAATTATGTGATGGCTCTGCGCACCCCCCTCCAAAATCATAAACAGCATCATCATGAATGTCAAAATCGTAAACAGCATCACGGTCATTGTCATGATTGCGGAGATCTTTGGCACTCAAAGCTCCAGCTTCTCGAAGCATTTCTTCAATTTCTGTATCTATATTCCCACAATTTGCCGGAATGTGTCGACTGCCCGGAGTGGCGAAACCGCCAGATTTCATGACATCCACGTACAACAAATTGTGAATGTTCGGATTATACTCAAAGGTGAGTAATCCTTTTGAAGTCTGCAAAACAATCTAAGTTTCAAAAGAAAACATGTATCAACTAGACACATTGCTTGTCTCAAAATCAATAAACATAAACAGTTCGTGCAATGATCAGTGAAAAAATTAAATAAAAAAAAAAGCCCAAATAAATCTTTGGAACCATGGAAAATACATAATATATATGGCCTTGGCTGAAAGGGAAGGAAAGAGTTCAAAATGAGGATCATGACCATATTTATTCCTTCAGTGCCCCTTTTCCAGTCAAATAAGGACATATATTACCACCAAGAGTTGCTTTCCGCATCCAGCCCCTATATATCCTGTTTTATGGTACGATAATCTGCAGTTGATAATTATGCTCGACTCTTTGTCATGTGCGGATGATTGTCTAAGCTTTATAAAGGCATGAATCTACTTCTGTTCGGATCTCTGCAGATGAATAGAGAGTTTCCTCTGCTGGTTGCTCTTTCAGCTGATTCAATTGTCTAACTTTATTTTTATTTTTTTTTTTTAAAGAAAAATATCTGTTTATTTATTTATTTATATTTATGAGATAATTGCATTGACCACCTCCGTAAAAAATAATAATTAAGGACTGGCCTCCCATGTGACAACTTATATGAATTTGAATTTTACCTTTGAATTATTTTAATTTCTTTAAAATAAGAATGACAAAAGTCAACATATATTAAAAAGACTCATTTGTCTGCCTACTTCCCTCTTACAGTATTTTCTTTTTATACCAATTTCTATCTCAATCTGAAAACACTCCCACACTCAGAAACACAGCCTCTCACAGTACCCATTCTCTTCAGTTTGTCTTCTTTTTTCTGTGTCTTAAACTCTTGCTTATCTCTTAAAGCACAAATCTTTCTGGTTCTGTCTTCTTTTTTTCCTCTCTAAACCACCACCGTTCTCTTCATTTTCTCTTTTGCCCATGGTACCCCTTGTTTTCCTCATACGACAATCACTTTTTGCCAAAGGCCCGTGACTTCTTCAACCTATCAAACCCATGATTGTTACATGTTGGGAGCATACGACTGATTGAACCCATGTCTGTTACAAGCAGCTCTCTGAAGTCCACACAAACAAGTAAAAAAGATATAATTCCCCTAAAGCAAATTCCTAAAGCTAATCAGGTTTCTATAGGTTCTGAAGCAACTTTTTTTAATATGTATTTTGATTTCTGCAACAATCAAAGCCAATAGGTGATCAAAATTCAATTGCTTGAATTTATTTATTTTATTTTATTTTTCAGCAATTGCTTGATTAGAAGGAGATGAAACAAAACATAGAATTTTTTTCAGCCAGATGTAATATGTTAATATATATATATATATACTGTGTTAAACTGTGTTGAGAAACATATGTATCATGTTAAAAAAACAAATATATAGTGTTGAAAAGTAAACAAAGCCACTAAAGCAAAGAGGATTACAAGATCCGGGCTGCAGTGAAACGATGCACAAACACAACACGGACCACACTCTAAACTCTCTCTCTCTACAGATTATAATATATATATATTGTAAGTAAATATGAATAAAAGATAATAAAATAAGTACACGTATATCTGTTTGCATTCCTATTTCAGTAGTATTTCTGATTTAGTAATAATACTTAAGTGTAGTAAGAACATATAACATAATAATCACTTATGTGAATTAATAATACCAAATCATAAATGATAATTAAAGTATTATCTTTAATTTGATAAGTGAATATTTATTCATTATTTTTAATTTGATAATTAAAAATTACATATTTATTTATTATTAATTTATATTAAAAAGTGAATTTATTGTGTGAGGACCTACATATTTACCTTCCCAAAGCTTAACAATCCAAGCGATTAGATGAAATCTAACTCGCTAAAAATATAAAATAAAGACGAACAAAATTAGGGGATTAAGCAATTAATTAGTACCTTGTAAGTCCTAGCAGGAAGGCGCAAGAGTGTGAAGCAACCATCGAACAGCGTCGGCGGTACAAAATCTTTTGGAAAATCATCATCACTTTCCATATGTTCAAATTCCTCAGCCCAGTACCAATTTCTTGATTTGATCACGGCATCCCCAAGGCTGTTGAGTTTCTGATTTTGGTGAAGCTGCAATTTCTGAACTTCCATGGCTTTCAAACCTGGTAGTTTAGAAGGAAATTGGCGGATAAATTGAATCCGCTCATTTCGGTATCTGATCCTCAGGTCGTCTTCGTCGTTGTCTATGGATGGGATAAAACGAGAACATAACGATCCGAGTTCACGAATGAGTGCATCTAAGACAAGATTATGGAAGAAATTCGAGATTGTTGTACGTTCAGATTCTTCGTCGCGAGGAAGGAGAACCTCAGTATCACTAGTATCTCTCAACTCTTTCTGAAGCTCAATAGATACCATACTTGCCATTTCTTCTTCCAAACCACTCGAGACTACTTGCAAGTTACAATAATTGAAACTAAGAAGCCTGGCTTCTTTATATAGCTTTAATGGTTTTTACTTTTAGATGCCACGCTTTATGCTGTGTTTGGATTGAGTTATTTGGAGGGATATCTAAAAAAAAAAAAAAAAAAAAACTAAAAATTGTATTTGGATAATTTTTAGTGAGAAAAATAGAAATGTTTAGAAGAAATTTAAATAATCAAAAAAACTTGTTCACATTATAATTGACTCACAATTTGGAGCCAGTGAGTCAGTTAAAGTCAATTATAATGTGAACGAAGTATTTTTTTATTTTTTTTTAGACAGAGGGGGTGCTTCCAAGTGCAAACCGAAAACTAAATAGAGGGTGATGTGGTGGGAGCAGAGTTATGGTCTTGGTCGAAACTATAATGTCTTGGCAGTTGTTTCCAAAAAATTTCTTTGGACGCGTTTGGCAAAATGGCAACCGAAACATTTTGTATTTTTATTTTCATTCATTGTTGTGGATGTGTTCAATAGTTGTGATTAAAAACATATTTAATAACCGCTTAAAATTTGTTATGAATACATATTTGATAATAAAAAAAATGTTACAAAATTTGAAATATAAAATAATTAGTTAAAAAAATTATTTAAAATTATTTTATTGTTTATTATCACTAGACCAGCAATATTATTTTAATATTTTTAATTTTCACCCGTAAGAAAAATTATCAAACAATACTTCGCTATTCTCACCGTTCGCAACCAAAAACACAGACAATAATAATAATAAATAAATAAATAAAATTACGCGAAGCCTTTGTTAACCGGGGTAAAAATAATTATTAATTGAACGACTTTCACTGTCGAGTGGCAGACGCAGTATTGCAATAGTGGGGTCTTGACTAGAAATTTCGTTGAAGCTTCCTCCCTGTTTCATTCCACAATAGTCATGACTCATGAGCTGTGTGGATCCCACTCCGACACCACCCGTGTTACTAAAGATGATAAAGTTGTGGAAAGTTTATACCTTTGTCCAAACAATACAAAATATAATTTGGACAATATTGTACGTACTTGGTAGAAATTTCACAAAGTCTCGTGAACGAAGTGTTACAAAATTATGAGAATATTGAAAGTACTTGGTAGAAATTTCACAAAATTTCAACTTAACTGAAATATGGAATATGAAATTTTGAACGAGTTTTGAGAGAGCGAAAGGGGTTCAGTCATAGTGGATTGAGAGTTTTTTTGAAAAATTAAGTTAGGATGTAAGCCTTAGGAAAAAGGGCATTAGCATCTTTAAACCTTGTAGAAATAGTTGATCACATAGGGACTTTTCTCCTTAATTGAATAACTTTCACTGTCATGGCTGCCTTGCAGTACTTGGTCTTGCTAGAAATTTCCCTGAAGCTTTCTTCAATAAAGGGCAAGAGGTGTGGATCCCACACGGGACATCACCCACGTTAGTAAAAGTCTAATAGATGATATGCGTGTAGAAAGTTTTAAAGAGATTATAAAAAGCGTGTGGAAAACGAAGCTTGGGTTGCTTTGGATCGAGCATCTTTGGTTTGCTTTAATTTTTGTGGGAAAACCAAAAAAAAAGCTCACATCTTACCTTTCATAGAAATTTCCGCAAAATCTCTCAAATAAACATAGAATCGGGTCAATGAATCAGATTTGGATCAAACCCTATCTGATCGATCATTAGAATATCGATGAATTCAATATTTGATTTTATCTGTGTCTTAAAATAAATATTTCTTTTGAGACGGAGGAAGTAATTTATTAATCATTTGATTTAGTGATTCATTTATTAATTGCCTAATTTCTACTCTCTCTCTCACTTTTTTTTTTTTTTTTTTTCCTTTTTCTAATCATTGTGTGAAACTTAATTTAATTTTAAAAAATTAATAAAAATTATATATTTTTCAGATTAGATCATCAAATTGGATATTTGATTAATAACAAATACACTACAAATTCATTCATAAATAATTCATCGGATTACCTGATCGAATCGGAATCTAATATGACTCTTATTTGGAATATAAGAAAAGAAACACTGCCAAATGACTTTCTTCTTTCATAGGAGCTCTCTTTTCATAAGAGGTTATCCACTAGTTGGAGGTGTTTGATCGGAGTTGTTGTGCTTTGTTTCCATTGTTTGTGGATTTGTTTTCCTTGGTTGTCTTTCATCGTTTTTTTGTTGCTTCGGTAACATTAGGTTGCACTTTTCTCATAGGGGTGTGAATAGGGTTTTGCTGCTGGTCACTTGTTGTTGAAAGGGTCTAACTAGATTGTTTTTGGTGTTGTTTTGTTTATCCTTGTGGAGCCGCTGGCAATATAGGTGTTGGTCGGTGGCGATATAGGTGTTGGCGATATAAGTTCCATGTATGACGTCATGGAACTTTCTAGTGACAGTCTTTGGGTGTATTATGGTGGGCCCAGTGTCTATGTTTCTTTCCATTTTTACTCTACTGTTACTTATTATCATTTACCATCTGATGTCCTATATTGCTATTACGCTGATTTGATGGCTGATGTCCTGTCTAAGTCTTATTCAAGCTGCCTTTTTGGTTTTCGAGGATCCGTGTTTGAATTGTTTACTCCACTATGTCAGTGGCCCTTGTTTGGTATTGCTGTTACCTTTATCTTTAGGTCTGGTTTTTGTGGATGTTGCTTATTTGATGTCATGGATGAGATCATCATATGGTCATTTCAGTGTTGACATTTGGCCTCTGGCAAGCCTTTTTCTGCAACATATCTTTAATTATATTGGCAGCTTTAGTGTTACATTACCAATATGTTTCATGCTGGGTACGTTTTCTATTATTTTTATACTTCAATTTTTATTTTCCTTTGTGATGTGTGTGGCTATGAATGTCAAGTATGTTGGTTCCGCTTCTTTCTCTGGCCGAGTAGGAAGCTTTTATCTAGTCAAGGTTGCTGGTTGTTGTAGTGCACACAATATCTGTTGTTGGCCCAGTTATATCTTAACTTTCCATTTCTTTCTGCACTATTCTTATCATAAGTTTTTTTTTTTTTTTCTCATTCTTGGGTCGTACGGAATCTATGGTGTGTTCTTGTGTGTGTTTTGTTCTTTTACTGGGCTCTGGTGAGGGTGATGGAGGTGGATCATACTATACTTGCTTAGTTCCAAGGTATGACGCTAACCCAAAAGGAAAAGGAGCCCATTGTGTTGTTGGTTGATGATTTAGCCCAGAGTGACCAAATGTGTCCTTCTAGTCTATTTGGGAAGGTGTGGGCCTCTAAAACTACAACCTTAGTGGGAGCTAAGTTTACCTTTGGTAAACTTTTTAACAAGCTGTGGCACAAAGCTCAACAACAAGAGTCTGTGACTAAGAGGTTGCAAGTGTTCAAGGTCGCACGTAATTTGTTTCAGTTGATTATCCCAAATGCCAGTCTTCGTCAGCTTATTATTAAAGGCTGTCCATGGCTCTTTAATGGGCATCTTGTGGTGCTTAAGGAGTGGGAGGAAGGATTGTTATGCTCGGATTTCCCATTTCATTTTTCTCCCTTTTGGATTCAACTTCTTGATGTGCATGCTAATCTTTTGTTTGAGAAAGTAAGGCAAAAGATAGCAATACCTTTAGTCGGTGTTTGAAAATAGAGCTGCGTGATAAAGGCTTGGGTGATGGAAACAAAAAGGTGCTAGCTGACAGTCGTGTTCTTTGTCTTCAAGTTGAGCTGTATATCACGAAGCCCTTTAGGCGCCATCTTCTTTTAACGGACCCGATGAGAGTGGAGTCTTGGGTACAAGTGCGGTACGAGAAATTTCCCACTTTCTGTTTTGCGTGCGAAGTTATTGGCCACTATTAAAAATCTTGTATGACTGGAGTTTCACTGCAACCTGGTGATCTTATGGAGTATGGGAATTGGTTGGGAGTGGAAGGTTTTATTAGGAAAGACCTTTGGAATATGGAGTGTGAGGTGGTTGATTTTGGTGATAGGTCTGGGAAAAATTGGTTATATGTTGAAGACAGTGAAGTGGATGGTACAGACGGATCTGGGGGTCTACGTCTTTTTCTGGGCTGCGACGGATGCATGCTTGGCCGTCTAATTCATGTGATTTGTTTATTGTGCCTGCTCTTGATTCGGGGTTGCCCGCTAGTGGATCTTCGGCTAATGTTGTGGTTGCTTTGTCTAGTGTTGGAGGACCGTCCAATGTGGGTGTTGGTGCTGGTTTAGGGAACTATTCTTTAGGTGATGGGATTATTCAAAGTCGGATTGGTAGGTGTGAATTAGGTAATGGGAGTGATAAGACTGATTGTTAGTTTGGTGTGCCTGCTCCTTTATTGGAAAGCTATATGGTTCCAGGTTCTTCATCCCAGAGTCATGTGGCCTCTGTGCAAAATAAGGAGCCTATGGCTTCTAATCCTGTTACTTCTCCAGTTAAAGGTAAGATTATTCTTTTACAAAGGTGGGATCAGATGTCTAAAGCTTGGAAAAAAGGGAAGAGCTGGGTGAAGCCTCTCTTTGGTTCGACTTCAGATTCCTCGGCTACTTCTCAAAGCCAAGGATTCTCTCCCGTTTGTAAAGTTCGAAAGAGGTGACAATCTTCTTCTGGAGGATCCCAGGGGGGTCGTTTGAGGGGGGGAAAGAAACAGAAAGCTTTGGGTGATAGTTCCTTACCATTGTCAGTAGACAAGGTTTCTGCCGGTGTTAAAGTTGGTATGCAGTCTGAATCATCCGGTAAATCTGGGACTCAGCTTGGGGATTCTTATTATTCCGAATCCTCCCAGTCTTTTGCTACTCAGTTGGCTTTGCTCGTGGATGCTAGTACTCCTACCTTTAATGATACCGTCTAGTTTGGCTATTGTCATGATCGTGCTCTTGACTTTTGCATATGTTAGTTAGTTTGGCTGGTTTTTGTGGCTGTTTTTTGTGGCATGTACATAGGAAGCTTTGGCCATGTTCTTTCTTTTTGTGGGACTGGTTCTTCCACTAAAACTGACACATTTTCTCTTATTTGTCAAGCCGGTGATCTTGACTATAAGGGGTGTTGGTTAGGTTTAGTTGGTTTTGGGTATGTTGGTTTAATATGTTTTTAATCTTCTCTCTATGGC